GTCAATTATCAGTTTAAAGTGTAAAGTTATAATTCTCAGCCATGAAAAAAAAAGACATTTGAACATTCAGGCTTAGGGCCTCAACAACACCCAAGGTTCTGGTAGATTTAAAATTGGCAGTCTGGGTCTTTTTAAGAGAGCCAGTTTGGTGTAGTGGTTAAGGCACTAGGCTAGAAACCAGGAGACTGTGAGTTCTAGGTCTGCCTTAGACACAAAGCCAGCTGGGTGACCCTGGGCCAGTCACTCTCTCTCAGCCCTAGGAAGCAGGCAATGGCAAACCACTTCCAAAAAACCTTGTCAAGAAAACTGCAAGGACTTGCTGGAGTCAATGCTGACTGGAAGGCACCAAAAAAAGAAAAAAGGAAAAAAAAGGCTTTCTAAACTACCCCTCAATATGCCCTTTTAGTAGCCACCAGCCAGAAGGAGGATGCTGAGACACTGCCTTGGCACATCCATATCCTATGAGAAGTCTTTTCTTCTTCTGCATTTGGCCTGTCTGGGCCTTCTAAAATTCATGGTGGTTGAAAAGTGGGAAGACAAGAACTATGATTTCTGTCTTTCAGGCAGGTGTGCCTTGGCAGTAGTATTTTTTAATAATGGAAAAGTTCTTTGCTACTCTGCTTTGTTCAGCCTGACCAACTCTCTTGGGATGTTGAACTGCTAGTCCTGCAATCGAGAAATGGCTAGCAGTTGCAAAGTTATGATGTGAAGGTAGCATCTCTTAGCCCCACAATTATCCAAATTTAATTTTAGCTGGAATTGTTTATTTTGTTTCTGTGTTTTGTTCTATGGTTTATTGTATGCCGCCCAGAGTTGCATTGTTCATGTTTATATGGCAGCCATATAAATGCCATAAATTCAAACAAACAAACAAACTTTATCACTAATGGTCTTTTACCTGGCTGCTTCTTGAGGGCAGAATATTTGCTTAGCATTTTTAATACAGTTCTTATAACCACTAACCGCATTATCCTTTGGTATGATGGATGTCAGGGTATCCAGAGGAGGATTACGGTCACCTTGGTGCATGAGACAGGGAGCCACATCCGCTGGAAGGAAGTGAGGGAGCTGGTTGTGGGTAAGCAAAATATTTCTTGTATATCCCAATTGACGTTGAGGCTATACACTGTACCTGAAGTGAACAGTCTCATGCTCCAGAACAGTATCATTGATTTTCAGAAAAGCTTATAGATACAGATGTTATGTGACAAGAGTCAAAACAGAGCTTTCAGAGATGCAATATTTGAGCATTTTTCTTGGCTTGCAGTAACAATTTGCGAGTTGTTCATCTTGGTAAACAATGCCTATTTTTGGATGTTTTACATTGATATACTGAATTGTATCTCCTTTATAGCCACCAAGAGTCTTTTGGACTGCAGTGGGATAGAAGTATGTTTAATAAATAAACCAATCTTTGGTACAGTTTAAAGGGTAGGCTGGAATATTGTTTGGAAGATTGGAGGATGCATTCGTTTATTTTGGCAGAGTTTGAGAGATGGTCAAATTACAGTGATGTGATAGACTCACTGCCTCTTTCTTCTAAGGGGAGCATGGCTCAGTATAGTAAAAAGTGTGGAAATGTCTCACCAGTGTGATTCTTTTTCAGTCCCATCATGACAAGCGGTGATGAATTTAAGACTTGGAGAATAATCTCACTTTATAGACATACTCTGTATGGGCAGCCTGCAAGCTACAGGCCTTATATGACTCTTCAAAATCTTGCAGGTGGCAAGCTGAAGGCTTTGTAAAGCATGACTACAATGGAAGTATGGCACATAGATGAATCTTCGAACATTCTGCCTTCTGCTTTCCATCATGCTGAGATGGAAAGCAGAGAGAGAGAGCTATGAATGCATCACTCCAGATCTTCCATTCATATCTTTGGCAAAAGACTTACCTGAGTATGTTTTAGAGGCTTAAAAATATACTTGCTCTAATTCTCATGCAGCACAGGGAAGGTAAAAAGCATGCTCTATCCTCTATTTTCAGGTCGAATCCGGAACACTCCCGAAGGAGATGAGTCCCTCATTGACCCCAACATCCTTTCTTTGAACATCCTTTCATCAGGATACACCAGGCCCTCTCAGGATGATCGGTAGGTCTCTCAGAATACTCAGCTAATTTGGGTCAGTCATGATACCCCTGTATGTCTGTTACTGTATGTGCCCAACTGTGTGGAAAAGCATTTTCCTGAAAGTCCCAACTTCTTATTCTAGCACATCCAGTAGATCAAAGGTATGACAAGGCTAGCAAAAAAGAATACAGTGACAAAGTTGCATGCAGAAAAAACTAGTGGCTTTCCTCAGATATTTTTCTCATGAATAACAGTTTAAGAAACTACAGCTGTTACTGCAACATAGGAAGCTGCCTTGTATCAGTTGGATCATTTATCTACAGTATCTAGTCTTAGTATTATTTCCTCTGGCAGAAGGTTTCTTATATCTGTGGCCGAGGTCCATCTTTCCCAGCATCTGTCCATGTGCCCCTTTTATTAACTTAAAAAATATTATTTTAAGAATTATTATTTAATAATAATTGGAAATACTAGGAACAACCTAGGACCTCGTAAACAGTTGCTTGCCCTTGGAGGACTGGCATCTCTCCAAATGAAGAATATGTTTAAATTTGCTCCTGGACTGTGGTTCTCCTGCTTAAGCTTTAGCAACCGTCTGCAAACATTTCCTTGCCATGCATGTAAGGACCACTTTATCTCACAGCCTAGCAGAAGGAACTGATCATATTTTCATGCACTATACACAAAAAGGGAAGTACTGACTCATGTATCTTTCTACAGGGGCTCAGTCATTCTCCAGTGGCGCAATGTGTGGCAAAATCATTTGGTGATGTAGAAGTTCTTTTATCTAGAATAGTGACAAACAGTATAGCTTTCAGATTTAGCACTGCAGTTTGAGTGGAATGACCTTTCTCCACTATTTCAACAGTGGCTATAGGGATATATTAGAGTTTTTTCCTATTTTGCAAAATAATTTTTAAAATATATATTGAGAAAAATAGAGCTTGGAGCTTGGAGCCCTTTCTTGGTTCCTTGGGTTTGGTTATTGCATTATTATGAGAGGTTAATGGAAAAGGATAACACAGTGTGATTATTATTCCTAAGGTGAAGGACTGTGGATGAGTGAGTAATGCTATTCTATTAGGAAAACAGGAGACAATGTGAGATCTGATTCATTTATCTCTTTTTGAAGAGTAGTTTCTCTTTCAGTGCCTCCTGTACTTGTGATCAAGTTATTATGACCAAATAATCCTGTGTAAATTCCTCAGTACTGATCTCAATTCAGATGCTTAAACTTATATGATTTTTACAACCCTCTGAAAGAATATATGGGTGAGCTGGGAAATGATGGTGAGTCAAGAGCAGTGCAAATACAGTAAGTCTCAACAAAACAAGGTGTAAGTATATCTTGGAAAAAGGCAAAGCTGATGAAGGAATGCGGAAAGGAAAAAGAGGTTGATTAAAGTCATTCCAGTGCAGCTTTCTCCAACCTGATGTCCTCCAGATGTGTTAGAACTATAATTTCCAGTCAGCATGGGCATAATTTGGAGGAAAACTGTTCTAAGGCAGAGAATAGGCAACCTTTGGGGGCCAACAGACACAATTGAAGGGTGCCTATGGGGGAGGATGGCTGCCCCATGGATTATGAAGCCAGTTTCAAAGTATCTCTCCCCTGAAATTGGTCAGCTTTCTTTCTTCTCCTTTCTTTATGGTCCTCCAAGATCCTCTCTATCACCCCAGCTTACTTTGTTCTTTTTTTTCTGGACAGATGATCACATTCCAACAAAACACGGTGCTGCACCCATCCTCCATTACTGTTTCCCCCAAATGCCAATAAAACATATGTGAATGGGACCCATTGATGTAAATAAATATGACATTAGAGCTGAACGCAGCATGCCACCCTCCCATTTAATTGGTTTTAATTAAAAAAAAATCTTTAAACAATTACTTCTGGTGGGGCAGGTTGTCTGGCAGATATTAAGGGAGAAATCAATAGGGACATTGATGTCTGTTGGTACCAAATTGCATAACCTTGAGCATCAATTCCATGGGTTTGGTTTTAGTATAAAAATATAACAATTCTGCTCAAAAGGGGTTTTCCCTTCCAAAGAGCTAGCAATAAATTAACAGAGCAAAAGAAAAACAAAACAAGAAAATAAAGCCAAGAAGTACAGCAGTATTGCTCCTTTTACTGATATCAGCTAAGACCTGTATACTTGATTAACTTGAAGTAGATGCAATTTATATAAAGATGTTTCCAGATGTCAGCTTCTTCAGTGACAATAACGGCAAACTTATAAGCAAAAATAAAAGAAGAAACTTATAGGAAATTTACCTATTATCAAGAATAATGATAATTATTGGAAGGCGTTGCTCCTAGGTTTGCTCAGTGGTTGTTATTACTCCTACACTAATATTACTAGCATACTTGCCAAGAAAACCTCTGTTTTACAGGATCCTGGCTTGTCAACATGGAGTCATCTGTAAGATCAGTGATTAAAACTAATATCAGGGAGTACTCTTAATTGTAAGCTGGATTTTGCACTGTAGAATGAAAGCAATCTATCCTGGTCATATAATGATTCTTTCATCCCTGGTTACTGAGCTTTCTAGTTCAGCCTTCCCTGACCTGGTTCCCTCCAAATGTATTGAAGTAAAAATCCAGAATTCCTACTCAGCATGCTGGGAATTCCAATTCTACAACTTGTGGGGGATATCAGGTTGAAAAAGGCATTTCTGCTATATATGCTAGGAATGGTATTTCTTATTTCTTTTTGTCCAAACTCTGCAGCTCTTGGCAAGAAACCTGAACATGATTTTTTCAATTTTTTTCAGGACTGTTTCAATGCATGCTGATTTATTTACCATTTTATTTAATTATTTGTAACATTTATTAGCTACATGCTCTGTGAGATATGGGACCCAAAGCAGCACCCTTCATTAAACCCAAAATTTAAAATACTAAATTTTCACAAAGAACATCTTTGAGGCTTCTGGGCATCACCAGAGAAGTAAGAAAGACTAAGAATCACATGCCTGTAGGTTTGTGCCTGCTCCTTCTTCATATTTTTTTCTCCTATGAGCATTATTCTTAGCTGCCTGCATGGATGAAAACAGAATTAATGGCTGGCATCTCAAAGTTGTCAGCAACGATGGTTGGATTTCACTAAAGAATCAGAATAACAAAGGGTCAGTCTACAAGAGCAGCCTTTCCCAACCTGATGCTTTCCCAATCTGAGAGTGCAATTGTCACCATCCCAAGGTAGCATTTTTATCTTGGGATAGTAGGAGTTGTAATTCCAACCCATCTGGATTGTATCAAGTTGTAGAAGGTGGCACTAGAGCAACTATTTTCCAGATTTCCCATCTTTCTTAATTTGCATGAGCTTTAGAAACTTTTTCTCATCTTGATGGTACTGAACTAAGAAGAACTTGTTGGTGAGAACTCAGCTCACCCACCCACCATGGACGCCTGTTTCAATTCCCAGCTTAGCTATCATGTGTCACCAAGCTACTTTCCCAGAAGGCAGACAACCATCTTAGATTCATTCAGTTTATCTCAATATCACTGAATAGCGTGATGCAAGAGCACCTCAGATTGGCTTCATGTTTATAGATGAGGAGAAGCACTGTAAAAGTGGTGCTGACAAGAAGCTTCTATGGACCCATATGGCATATGGACCCAATTGTTACACAAAAGGTGAGGATGTATCAGATTGAACCAAATGGCATGAATGACCAAATTCTGTACCTGAATTAGGCTGCCTAAACACTAGATGGTCAGTTTTTTCCTTCAGGCAAGACAATAACAGCAAAACAAAAAAGCAACCCTAGTATGGCCTGAATTTCTAAATGAGGACAGCCCTTTTGTTACATACTCTGTTTGCAGTCAATGGGTGTGTTCTCACAACATGCTGAATAAAATGCCCAGTTAAGGGACACACAGACATTGACATTCCCAATCCTCCCACTGTCAGGTGCAGCTCTTTAATCAGAGATTTAGGCTTAACTTGTCTTCCAGATCTGAAACTGCTACCATTTTGGATTTGCAGAAACCAGCCTTTGTAACTAAGACCTGTCATAGCTTGAAATTCCAGTTTCTCTAAAAGGCAGGTATTTCTGATCTAGATGGCATAGTAAACTCAAATTCCCGGTTAAGAACCGTGTGCAATAGTGGTAAAATGGCAGCAGACGAGTACCTGTCAAGCTGACTTTGTGGCTTCTCATGTTCTGCAAACATAGCCAAAGGCTCAGCATCTTTTACGTTCACAATGCTAAGACAGAGCTTAAGTTTGCTTCAGGTAGTGATGCACAGACAGCGAACTTCATGACTAAATTCAGGGCTCCGCAATGCAGGCCCCCAAAGCCATCCAAGTCATTTCAGTTTATCTCGTTACACCATTTACTAATTCACCATGTGTTTACCAGAGTGCCTTAAGAGCTTTGCCTTCTACTGGGGACAGAGAGGAGCTATTCGTAGTGTGTAGGCTTTGGAAGACCTGCATGATAAAACTGCTGCTGCTGCTGCTGCTGCCGCTGCCGCCTCCACCACCACTGCCCATTTAAACTAACCATGTGATTGTTTGTGTTTTTGCAGGCAGTTTCTTGATTCGGATATGCCTAGGTATTATTTGTGAGCCTCCCTGTATATTTTATTTCCTCCCGTGCACCTTCTTCAAATCAGCATTGGGGTAGCAATGCTGTAGACTGAATTTACTTCCATCTACCCAAACACCAGCTTCTTTCTCTTTTTCTCTTCTGCATCATTGGGCTTCTTCTTGTTCCATTTTGTCTCTGGATTTTTCCTTTCCTTTCCTTTCCTTTCCTTTCCTTTCCTTTCCTTTCCTTTCCTTTCCTTTCCTTTCCTTTCCTTTCCTTTCCTTTCCTTTCCTTTCCTTTC